CTGTGGCCCGAGGCACTGCCCTCCCCGCACCCCCGCCCCGATCTTTCCACATCAAGGTTCTTTCCACATCAAGGTTCTGACGGAGCCTCTACCAGGACGGGACCGCACAACTGCGGTGGGGGCGGCCTCCTCGCGGGCTCGCAGCGCCGGTCTCCTCTAGCCTACCGGAGTTCCTTCTGTACAGTTTAAGCCTGACTGCTCATTGTGGCCACAGCTGCGATCTTTGACAAGGGCCAGTCACATCCCCGGGGCTCGGGGTTGACTCAGGAAGAATGCAGGCTCTCAGGCCCCACGGACGGGGGTTCAAATCCTGGCTTCTAACGGCAGGAGGATGAGCCACCTCGCCTCTCCGAGCTTCCCCAACCAGGAAATGGGGTTAACGACGGCACCCACCCCGTGCGTGGCTGCCTCGTGTAAGCGAGGACAAGTGAGTGTGGCCCACGTGGGTCGCTGCTGCGGTCACGTTTCCCAGCTCCGACCGCCTGGCCTGCCAAGCGGCAGCCCTGAGCCACGCTGGCCAGAGGCACGCAGTGTGTCCCCTCACCTGCAGAGGGCGCTCCCCACTCAGCGCACCGCTTCCAGGGTCTCACCAGAGAGATGGGACACTGACACCTGGGGAGGACGGCGACTCGCCCAAGGCAGGCCGCGGAGGGGGACAGGCCCCGCCAGAGGCAGCAGCCGAGAACTCAGGAAGGATATGCCTCGAGGAGCTCGCTGACGCCGGGCAGGGAGGACAGCTTGTTGCCCTCCGTGTCCTCCGCGTACATGCTGTCGAACAGGAAGGAGCCGTTCAGGTGCTCCACGAAGGCAGCCTGCAGGCAGGACCACGGGCAGCATGGAGACCGCCAGCCCAGCCCATCTCTTAGGCCCTTGCCAGGCACACAGGGGCGCAGGCATGTTGGGAACTGGGCTGGCGGAGGCGGGTGGCTGGACAGGGCGTTACTTCCAAGGGGGCTGGTGCGTGCGGAGGGTTAGCGGTGGGGTTTAATGCTGCAGGCTCTTTCCCGGCTGCAGGAGGGTGTGGGACAGGTCAGCAGGGACCCGGCCTTGAATCTGGGGTCGAGCTGAGCTCAGAGACTTGAGCCGTGGCTGGCATGCCGTGGGAGACCACCCGAGGGTCTTGAGGAAGGCGGCCCCTCTGACAGCTGTTTTAGCACAATCTCTGCAGTGCTGCGCTGGAGGCAGGGATGCCAGTGAGGAGATGGAGTGAGGCTGGGGCTGGACTGGGACAGGGCAGAGGGAGGCAGGGAAGGAGCCTGGGGAAAGGGCCCGGCTGGGGCCAGCAGTTGGCATAATGGCTATGCCGCTGGACTCCCATGTAGTCGACTGTGGTTCAAGTCCCGGACCCAGTGGCTTAAACTCATGCTGGGTGCATGTGTGTGTGTGCCCAAGATCTCGAGAGGAGAATGGAGGAGAAGGGACTGCGGCGTGGCCATCACCCTGAGGGGTGATTTCTCACTTTGTCTGTCTCTGTCTGTCTGTCTGGTGAGCGCATGCGCCCTATAGCAAAAAACTCTCAAACAAACAAACAAACAAAAAGGGCCCCGTTTATGTGTGTGGGCCTGCCGCCTCTCTTGGGCGGCTCTGAGCGGGCGAGGGCGTCTGGACCCTGGCGGCACCTTGTGCTCTTCCAGCTCCTCCTGCCGTGCCTGCTCCTCCTCCAGCCTGGCCTGCATCAGGGTCTCCCGGTGCCGCAGCTCGTCGATGCTGTACTGGTGCTTCGTCTCCGCGAGCTCTTTCTGATGGAGGAGGGAAGTGATGACATTACGGGGACAGTCATTGCAGGCTACTGAGCCCCGCCCCTGTGGCCTCCTGGGCGTAGGCCGTGGGGTCCGCCGGTCCCCTCCTCCCCTCCGTGAAGGCTGGGAGAGTGTAGATGGGCGTGGCTGTCTCCCTACGCCCCTTTCCAGGTACTCCGAGGCTAAGGGGAATTCGGGAGCTGGTGGCACCCCAAGAGCTGCCCAGGGCCCCAGTCAGCTTGTGGCTGGGCCTGACGGTCCCATTGCCTGAGTTCGACAGCACCAGGAGGCCAGGGCCTGGGGTAGGCTGTGGCCAGCCCACGGTGAGACAGTGACAGAGACGGAGGCGTGTGGAACTCGGCTCTGTGACCTCTCGCTTGTTATTTACCTTGCTGATCCTACGCAAGGCTGCCAACTATGAGGCCTGCGTTTGCTCACAGTGCCCGGGCACACAGGCTGCGCTCCCTGCCCCGGTGGAAACTTGCGGGGACCCTGAGAGAACGCCCAGGAAGGGGCTTCGGTGGTGCACTGTGTCGGCCGTCTGTGCCAGGCCGTCCACTCGGCTGGACTAAGAAACGTGATAGAGCATTATTTTGGGTGTGTCCGCGTGGTGGTTCCAGAAGGGACCAGCATAGGAGTTGGCTAGGCATGGAAGATGTGCCTTCGGTGTGGGCGAGCGTGATCCAATCGAGGCCCAGAGAGAACAAGCACGGAAGGGCCAGCCGGTGACGTGGAGGTTAAGGCACTTGATCCCACACAGCTCACTGTGTGATTCGAGTCCCAGACCTGGTAGGCTGAAATTTATGCTGGGCATGTGTGTGTGTGTGCCCCAAATCTCAAGAGGAGAATAGAGGATAAGAGACTGTGGCATGGCCATCCCCCCTGGGGTCTGTTTTCTTGCTCTCCCCATCTCTTTGTCTCTCCAGCAAGTGCATGTGCCCTGTCAGAACATTCAAAAAATAACAGTAATTGGGAACCAGCAGTTAGCGTAATGACTATGTCACTGGACTCCCACGTAGTCGACCGTGGTTCACATCCCGGACCTGGTGGCTTAGAACTCACGCCGGGCGCGTGTGCGTGCGTGCCCAAGATCCCGAGAGGAGAATGGAGGAGAAGGGATTGCGGCGTGACCATCCTCCCTGGGGGGTGATTTCTCGCTTTCTGTCTCTCTGTCTCTCTCTGTCTGGCGAGTGCACGTGCCCTATAGTGAAAACCTCTCCAAAAAAAAATATAAATAAATAACAGTAATTGCTCCTGGATCACACAGACCTGGGTAGATGCAGCTCCTGCCTTGTGGCCCTCAGACCCGACCTCCTCCTTGGGGACACCAGGCAATGACTGCGGGGCGTGGGAGGGGCCCGGCCGCTGGGGGCACACGCAGAACAGCAGCCACGGGTGACAGAGGCAGGTGTAGGGCTGAGGAACAGCCCTGGCTGTGGGCAGGGCACCACCCTCAGGGCCCCTGGGCCTGGAGACAGCTCCGGCTCCGAGCAGGGAGACTGGGCGGGAGGCACTTGCCACGTGGTCGTCGATGCGCCGGAAGTCCAGGTAGACGAGGTCGGGAAGGTAGGCGCAGATGAACATTTTGTAGTCCTCCGCCTCGGCCATGGGGTTCCCAGAGAGGCTGAGTGTCCGCAGGCACTTGAACCTCCGCAGGTAGATGATCTGCGGAGACAGGACGAAGGCTGGTTTCTTGGCTGCCGGGGCTGAAAGCACACCTGGCGGCTCCGTCCTGGGTGCTCTTCCAGAGCGTGCAAGATGGCAGGCAAGGAGGGCCGGGGGTCCAGGCCGGACTCAACATTTAAAATGGGTGGGACCAACAGCGTAATGGCTATGCTGCTGGACTCCCACGTAGCCAACCGTGGTTCGAGTCCCGGACCTGGCAGCTTAAACTCTCACCGGGCGCGTGTGCGTGCGTGCCCACGATCCCGAGAGGAGAATGGAGAAGGGATTGTGGCGTGGCCATCCCCCCTGGGGGGTGATCTCTTGCTTTCTGTCTCTGTCTCTCCCTGTCTGTCTGGCGAGCACACGTGCCCTATAGCAAAAACCTGTCCAAAAAAACTAAAATAAAAATGGGTGTGAAAGGTGTAGGTGCTATAGTGGTTAAGGTGCTGGATCCCACATGGCCATCTGTGTGGTTCAAGTCCCAGACCTGGGCTTGAAAAACACACCAAGCACATGTGTATACATGCCCAAAATACTGAGAGGAGAATGGAGAAGGGATTGCGATGTGGCCATGCCCCTGTGGGGGTGCTTTCTCACTTTCTCTCTCTTTCTGTCTCTCTCCAGTGAATGCACATGCCTTATAGCAAATTTTTAAAACATGGATATAAGAGAGACTAGCAGTTGGTGTGGTGGTTAAGGCACTGGACTCCCACATGGCGGATTGCAGTTCGAGTCCTGGACTTCGAGACTTGAAAAGCAGGCTGGGCCATGTGGGTACCCCGAGTCCCAAGGGGGAGAATGGAGGAGAAGGGACTGTGACACAGCCATGCCTGGGGGAGGCTTTCTTACTTCCTTTGTTTCTGTCTCTCTCCAGCAAGCGCCCATACCCTATTGCAAAAACAGAGAAAAAAAGTGCCTGCCATCTACTCAAAACGTGGTGGTGGTTAAAATTATTAGTGGTCACTCAGAACAAGTATGCCTTTTAAACGTTTATATTTATTTATTCCCTGAGAGACAAGGCTTGAGACGGACGGACAGATAACCCCAGGAGGGTCTTCACACTCGATCCACCTTCAGCCTCAGCCAGGCTGATCACAGGCACCCAGCATGCTCAGGGCGGTCCCGGGACACAAACCTACGCCCTTCCCATATGGGTCCAGTTGCGTTACCACTGTGCCACTGCCTGGCCCAGCAGTGCCTTCCCAGATCATAAACCTTGTGAAGCCTCAGCCAGGCTGATCACAGGCACCCAGCATGCTCAGGGCGGTCCCGGGACACAAACCTACGCCCTTCCCATATGGGTCCAGTTGCGTTACCACTGTGCCACTGCCTGGCCCGCAGTGCCTTCCCAGATTGTAGACCTTGTGAAACATCCAAGTGTCTAAGATGAGGTGGAACTCAAAGTGCGGTTAAACTGGATTCACTGGGTAACAGTAAGGCATTCTGCTAATTGCTGCTTATTCTTCCTATACTTGTTTCGGTAAAACTTCCCAAACGCTTCCTCGGATAGCAGCGTCCGGACGCGTAGACACTACCGCACAGGAGGCGGAAGGCAGCCTGGCGCGCTTTTCACAGTGACGGTCACTCAGCGTTTCTCTTCATTTGTTCCACAGACGCTGCGAGGCCTGGAAAGACCCACCTGGCCCCTGCCCTTATGGCAGGAGCTTACATTTCAGGGACGGAGAAAAACATCGCTATAAATAAATCACGTCATCACGGTTTCAGGTAAGCACTATAAAGAACATAACATGGGGCCGCGAGAGAAAAATCGAGAACGCTTTTTCCGTTGGGAGACTAAGAGGTCTCTCCGGGGAAGGGACATTTAAGCGGAGATCTGAGGCAGCGCGCTGTGGAGAGCAGGGGAGAGCACGTTCCCGGGAGCCAGAGCAGAACAGCAAAGGCCCGAGTGCTGGCAGTGTGGCACGGAGGTCGGGGGAGGGCTCGACAGGAGGGAGGCACGGTGGAGGGCTGCTTCATGGAAGGCCTTGCAGGCTGCGGTCAAGTCTGGTTTTCGTGTTTTGGGCCGAGTTCACGTGCACTTACAGAGGGAGACAGAGAGCAAGTGAGGGAGAGAAAGAACCCCCTTCCAGGGCAAGGTCACGCCACATCCCTTCTCCTCCATCTCTAACCCTCTTGGGATTTGGGGCACACGCACTCACAGCCCTGGTGTGTTTTTTAGCTGCCAGCGCCGAGATCGGAACCACACGATCGATCCTGGGATTTGGTGCCTCAACACTGGGCCTCAGAGCCTGCCCAGGAGTCTGGACTTTATTCTAAGAACAATGCGTCATCAGGGTTTTAAGTGTGAAGGAGAAAATCTAATTTCATTTTTTTTTTTTTTGAGAGGTTTTTGCTATAGGGTGTGTGCCCTCGCCAGACAGACAGAGACAGAGAGACAGAGAGCGAGAAATCACCCCCCAGGGGGGATGGTTATGCCGCAATCCCTTCTCCTCCATTCTCCTCTCGGGATCTTGGGCACACACGCACACGCGCCCGGCGTGAGTTCTAAGCCACCGGGTCCGGGACGCGAACCGCGGTCGACTACGTGGGAATCCAGCGACATAGCCATTACACTAGTGGCTGGTTCCCTGATTTCATTTCTTAAAAGTTCATTTATTTTTCTGTAAGAGAAAGAGAGAAAAAGGGGCACAGAGAGAGACATGGATCCCTCACAGGGTCCCCACACTGCAGTCCACCCTGTCCCAGCTGGCATGGAGCATCCGCACGCTCACACATGCCTGCACATTCAGGGGTGTCCTAGGGTGTGAGTCCAGTTGGGTTACCACCTGGTCCCTGATTTATTATTAATATTTTCGTAGATGTTTTTGCCATAGGATGTGTGCACTCACTGCAGAGAGAGAGACAGAGACAATGAGAGGGTGAGAAATCACCCCGGCCCCCGGGGGGGATGGCGACATTGCAATCCCTTCTCCATTCCCCTCCCGGGATCTTCGGCATGCACGCACATGCACCTGGTGTGACTTCCTTCCTTCCTTCCTTCCTTCCTTCCTTCCTTCCTTCATTTCTTTCTTTTAAAGAATTATTTCTTTAGGTTCATCTGTTTATTTATTTTAAGTTCACCAGTTAGAGACACAGAGAGAGAGGGAAAGTGAGAAAGCAAACCACCAGGTCGGGACTCAAAGTTGGCCATGGGGGAGTGCCCAGCGCCTTACCCATGCCACCTGCTGGTCCCCCTGGTGTGATTTTCAAGCCTCTGGGTCTGGGACTGGAACCGTGGTTGGCCGTGTGGGATTCGGTGAGGTACCCACCATGCCAGCTACTGCCCCTGATGTATCCCTTAAGAGCTCTCAGGCGAGAGTCTGCTGTTCCTCTTCTAGACTGGCAGAGAGCAGCCTAGGCCTGCACGGGGATGGCCGTGCAGCAATGCTCTGTGGGTGCCCTATCCAGACAGCGGGCCTGGGTGCGCGTTCTGGGACCCCCTGGGCATGGCAGACACACGTGTGCCTGTGAGCCTTGCTGGCTGAGGCTGAGGGGGGCCTGCGGCCTGAAGACCCTCCCTTCCTCTCTCTCTCTGTCTCTGTCTATCTCACACGGAAGAAATAAATTAAGAACGTAGAAACAGAGAGAGGCTGAGCGCGGCGTGTGCTGTAGACAGCTGAGGGAGCTGACGGGGCTGTGGGCAGCTGCCCTGCGCGGGGCAGTCTGGCAGAGGCCGTCCTCGGGGCGCGCTGCCCTCTGCTCCGGCGGCTCTCTAGGAGTTAACCTCGCGGGGGGACTGGTCCGGGGCTGGAGCAACCGCTGTGCGAGGGTGTTCACTACAGCCTGCGGGTCACGGCCAGGCCAGAAACGACCTCGACGTCCGCCTGTGGGGACTGCAAGGACCTGCCCTGCCACTTCTGGGTGAGGTAGGCTCCATCAGAGGGACAGCGGATGGCTCTGGGTGACGGGGAAACTGCAGCAGGCGCCTGGGGGTAGCCGGGCGGACGTGACCGTGGCCTACCAGGTTTGAACACGAGACGTCTGGAAAGACATGGGCCACGCACGAGGCAGCAGCTGTGGCCTCTGTAAGGGGAGGCACGGATGAGGGACAGAGGCCAGGAGGGAGGGAGGCTCTTCCCAGCATGCCTTGAGTTCTGTTTAAACATCTGTGGTTTGTTTTTATTCCCTTTATGAGAGAGGGAAATGGTTAATAATCCACCATGTTTGTTAAACATTTTCTCTTTGAGGTTTTTTTTTTTTTTAATTTTATTTAACCTCATTATTATTATTTTCCCATTTGATCAGAGAGAGACAGAGAAAGAGAGGGGAAATGAGAAAGCGAGCTACCAGGTCCGGGACTTGAACCATGGTTGGCCATGTGGGAGTCCAGCACCTTTAACCACCACGCCAACTGCTGGCCCGAGAGCTGTTTCTGACAGGGCGCCCATGTCCTCATCCTCCTGCCCCAGCCTCCCAATTAGCTAGGATCGCCATTGCCCGTGGTTCACGTTGGCCTGAGAACCAAGCTGGGGCTTCCACGCAGCCTCCAGCCCAGCCCGTGGTTCACGTTGGCCTGAGAACCAAGCCGGGCTTCCATGCAGCCTCCAGCTCCGAGAGCAGTGGCACTGCCTGTGTGCCACCGTTTGTGTGTTTTCATGTGAGAAGGCGGTATTAAAATGGGACTGGGTGCTCTTTTACTTACAAGACGGCAGATGAAAGGCTGAGAAGCAGGGTACTAAGGAGAAGAAGCCTGAAGCCGAGGAGGCTGATCCCAGGGCAAGGTTAAAAAGGGTGATCCGGGGACCAGCAGTTGGCGTAATGGCTATGTCAATAGACTTCCATGTAGCTGACCGCGGTTGAATCCCAGACCGGGTGGCTTAAACTCACGCCGGGCGCGTGTGCGTGCGTGCCCAAGATCCCGAGAGGAGAATGGAGGAGAAGGGAGTGCGGCGTGGCCATCCCCCCGGGGGGTGATTTCTCGCTTTCTGTCTCTCTGTCTCTCTCTGTCTTTCTGGCGAGCATATGTGCCCTATAGCAAAAACCTCTCAAAAAAGGGGAAGCCCCATTGCAGCTGAAACCCAGTCCTAGTCCAGGGCATTAGCAGATACTCCCGACCTGCCATGTATTCTAGGAAGGCCATGTACAAGAGGAATACTCAGCCACTAAATCCAGGATTGAAAAGAAAAAGGAGAAGTTTCTTGCCACTGTCACAAAACCAGCTGGTGGGGACAGGCATGGTGGAACCCGAGTGGTTATACTTCATAAGATGCTGGGGATGTGCCTCGACAGCTGTCGAGCCACGGCAAAGACCCTCCAGTCAGCAGGGAGAAAGCTGCGCGCCAGCATCACCCCAGGACCATCCTGACCACCCTCACTGGACGCCACAGAGCAAGAGAGTGGTTCTCCCGAAGCAGCTTGCTCCGTGGCTAGACCTCTGGTCCTCAGTCGAGTTCCACTGCGTAGGACACACCAGGAATTTGTCATCGTCACCTCCATGAAAACTGGTATTAGCAAAGTGAAACTCCCCAGATACCTTCCTGATGCTTACTTCAAGAAAAAGAAACTGCAGAAGCCCAGACACCAGGAAGGTGAGATCTTCAACACAGACAAGGAGAAATACGAGATTACAGAGCAGCGCAAGGTGGATCAGAAAGCCATGGACTCGCAAATTGTACCAAAAACCAAAGCTGTTCCTCAGCCCTGGGCTACCTGCGATCCGTGTTTGCCCTGACAAATGGAGTTTATCCTCCAAACTGGTGTTCTAAATTTCTCGCCAAAAACGTAATTAAGTAAATAATATATTAAAAATAAAAAAAGAGCCTGGGAGTAGGAACCAGCAGGTAGCATGGAGGTTAAGGCAGCTGTATCCCACATGGCTGACCATGGTTCAAGTCTCAGGTCCAGTGGCTTGAAAATCATGCTAGGCACGTGCGAATGCGTGCCCAAGATCTTTAGAGGAGAATGGAGGAGAAGAGACATGGCGTGGCCATCCCCCCTGGGGGGTGACTTCTCACTTTCCCTCTCGCTCTGTATCTTTTCTATGGCAAAAACCTAAAAAGGAGTACAACGCAATGCCCTTGAAGTCGACCTACATGGAAAGGTTCCAGGCTGTGTCCAGAGACCTCTCTGACACCAGGCAAGCACACGCCCGTGTCTGGGGCTGGCTGGCGCTGGGGTAGACTGTGATGTCAAGACCTATTGGGAATGCTGTCACTCTGTCTCTTTCTGTCTTGCTCATGGGAAAAACTAAAATAAACAAACTTAAAAAAAATAAGCCGAGAGTGGTCAGCCAATGCCGTGGTGGTTAAAGTGGCTGGATCCCATGTATGGCTGGATCCTACATATCTAACTGTGCAATTCAAGTCCTAGACCTGGCAGCTTGGAGCTTGGAAATTTTAAAAAAAGGGGGGGGAATGCCTCATAAATAAATCAATGACAAGAAAGCAAATTCTTAGACGTCAGGTGAACAGCACAGGGAGAGACTAAAATCAGGTGCTCAGGGCTAGAAGCTCATACTTGAGATAGATCACCCAAGATTCTCTGGGCCAAATCTCCAAGAAGTCTGGGCCTGATAGGTGAAGAGGATCCAGGGTCTCCAGGGTCCCCAAATGCAGCCAGGCCTGGGGAACCTGCGCAGACACCTCCACATGCCCTGGCATCTGCTCCCCAGGGGCCCCTTCCTTCCTTGTGCAGCCAGGCCTGGGGAACCTGCGCAGACACTTCCACATGCCCTGGCATCTGCTCCTCAGGGCCCCTTCCTTCCTCATCTCTCTGGGGATGGCCTTACAGCTTCTGACATAATCACAGGAGCCTGCTGCGCAGACCTCGCTGGGAAGGGTGACGGGGTCTTCCTGCCCAGGCCCTGATGGGAAGGGAAGGAGAACTCCCAAGGCCAGGAGGGGAGTGCCAGTGGGGCATCCACGGCAGGGCCAGGGCGTGTCTACCGTCACACCCCCAATAGCCTCTCATGCCAGGCCTGTGCCTTCGAATCCACAGCAGGGCTCTACTAGAATCTCTAAATGCTGGGGCCCGCAGGTGGCGCGGTGGTTAAGATGCTGACCGCCTACGTAGCCAACTGGGGCTCGAGTCTTGGACCTGGAGGCTTGCGGCTCACATTGGGCACGTGAGCATGCCCGCCCAAAATCCTGAGAGCAGACTGGGGGGAGAACGGATTATGGCATGGCCATCTCCCTGGGGGAAGATTTCTCACTTTCCATCTCTGTCTTTCTGGTGAGTGCACGTGCTCTAAGGCAAAAATCTATCTCTTAAAAGGAGAGAGGGTCTCCAAATGTCCAAGAAATAAAAAGGAAGGAGAGATTCATTCACATGCCAGCCCTGGGGTGTAAACTGGGCCTACCAAGGCGGGGCATCTGCTAAATGCTCAGAAAGATTCTCAAGGAGCACGGTTTGGGGTTGTTCAGGCCTCGCCCTTGATCTGAAAGATACCTGAGTGAAACGGTGTGTTCCTGCCCCGGATGCCAGTCTTCGAAAGCTCATGGACGGTGTACGTTATTATTAAAAAAAATATTCATGGATTTCAAAATGTTTCTTCACCAAAATAAACTCATACTTTACTTCCATTTTCCCACACATTTCTTTTTTTTTTTTGAGAGGTTTTCGCTATAGGGCACGTGCACTCGCTAGACAGACAAAGAGAGACAGAAAGCGAGAAATCACCCCCCAGGGGGGATGGCCATGCCACAATCCCTTCTCCATTCTCCTCTTGGGATACTGGA